GTGCGGCCCTGATCTCGGACAAGCAACGCGTAACGAGGTATCAACTGCACTGTAAAACCGAGTTTACTAAACTGGCGGCTACGTCGAGCTCGCCCGCCGATTCGAATATCAACATGGATAGTATATCTCTTCTTTCGAGTTCGAAAAATCCCAGCGGCAGCAAAAAAAAATCATCTTTATACTTGACTGGCCTTGAGATTTTTATTAATTATCCGCGCTAGCGTTTATTGTTACCATTGTCATATTAAGCTGTTAATAATGCAACGAATGTGGGCGTGATACCAATTATTCATCATTGTTAGTTAATTATTCACAAAATATTAATAATAGCACTATATTGTAAGATAGGACTATGACCTATAAATGAATGGCGAATCGCTAATCGAAGATTAATTATCACGCATAACAGCTGCGCAACTTGACCTTTGCTCTTATTGTTTTACGATACTTCAGAAGCTGTGTAGTTTATCCCTTAACTGATACGAATAAAGTGACAATTGGTAATGAAAAATTTTTCGCACGTACGCTTCTTTGCTAAATTTCTTTTTTTGGACATAATATTAATATTTCGTTATCGCTTGTCTAGAATAACTAAAATAGACCATAGCTTTCTTAATCTTTCCTAATCGTAATCGATTATTTCATATCATGTAATAGACCAACAAACCGCTCAGTTAGATTGATTTCGTAAATACTGTTGCATTACAGAATGTATATTCTGGTAGAAAAGGAAGGAAGGTGGATACGTGTCCGGAATAAATTGTGAATTGAACATACGCACGTGATACTGGCTATCATATCACACATTTTTAAAAGTCTGTCATTTCTATATAATGAAAAATTACATAAAGTTATTGCATAATTTTACATTCCCAAAATTTATTATTAATTTTACGTTTGCTATTAAAGCAAATTATGTAAAAATTTAATCAACATTAATACAAACTTCTGTAAAATTATATATTATAATACATAGTTTAATTAAATCTAAAAGTTTCGGAAATTTTTGTTAAAATTATACAAATAAAATTGTTCTAAATATAAATATATATGACTCATTATTTGTACGAACTGATCTCTTTTTAAAATGACATATGTCCAATTTTGATGATTCAAGATTGATTCATTGAAATATTATTTGTACTCGCATTTCATCAATATTCATGATATTTTCAAAACAGGATTTACACAGCTTTTTTAAACTGAGCGGTTCATATAATACCATCTGATATTACCATATCGTTGCTCATTTTGCCATAACAGCGCAGCAATATCTCTACAAGGGCAGTTTGATATCTTAACGGAGTGTAAACATTTAAAGCGTAATGGATATAGCGTTCCGAAGTATAATCGTGTCCGATTACAGTCAATCGGTTTTTCAATTATATCTTGCAGGTATAATTGAGTTACAGCGATATATGCGAAACCGTCCATTCCTCGCTTGTTTGCCGATTATCGACGACTATTAGGGTGCTTAGGCACCTCTTTCGTCGCTGATCGATAGTTCGATTGATCCAGTCAAGACTTGTCTTAAAAGTACTTGAGAGAGTGTGAGAGAGAGAGAGAGAACCTAAATAAAATATTATTCAAGATCTCCTATTATTCCAATAAAGAAAACGACACCATAATATAAAATCAAGATGTGCGTTTTTTCATTATCATTTACGAGTCGTATAATAATATGAGCCTTAAAGTTTAATTTGTCGAGACATTGTGCAATAATATTATATGTTGCATTCTTGAGAAAAAAATTTGAACACTAAATAAACATGTTCCGATCAATCGCGTCAGGTTTCTTTTTGAAAAGAACTCCGCAGATTCGACGCAATGTCAAATAGAACAGAAATTTGCGTGTCGAGAAAATCACGTATTAGATAGATGATTGCGGATGACGTCACGTAGCTAGTATTTTTTAGAGCGTTTTACAATTTACAGCCACGATGCGTCAACGAGAATCGTGACGCAAGGTCCATGTGATAACGCAATTCGTGCAGGAAAAAGGTCGAAAGTTTTTCTCTGACAATTTAAAACAGTTTAATTGATTTTTAGTGCTGACACGGAATCGTCGTGTCATATTACGATGCGACACTAAAATGATGTTGCGGAATGTAAATGACAATAAAAAATTATGTTAATCAAACTGTCGTTTGTTGTAACGTAATCGCTGTGAATTGAATTTTCGATAATCACACGCGGTTAGAACAAATCTCTGCTAAAGAAATCTTGTCGCAACAGTGTAAAAAATTTCATGGATTGGTAAAATAAAATTTAGTTTTTCTGAAAAAAGTAAAAAAAAATTTTTCCTAATTGAATGTGACTTTGATATCACATCAATAAAGATAATGCGAAAAATACAGAAATAACATTCATGTTAAATGTTCTCTTATTTTTTTTTTTTAAGTTTTATTCCGAACAAGGAAATACGAGAGAGAAAAACGTTGAAAAAGTTGTTCAGTTTCGCAAGAAAATGATCTTCATCTTTTTTCCTGCGCATTATAAAATGATGCAATATTATTGCGCCTGATTCGGAATTCTTGGATCAATACTAGACGATATCCAGAGTGACGAAGACAAACAATGCAACGATGAAATATTATCATGAGTACAATTTACGCGTCGCCGGCAAGACAAAAAGTAGGCAAGCCTGTTGTCATTTTTCCCGGAAGCAAAAATCCCCGCATAAAAATAATAGCCGAGCTAATATTCACAGTTTTATTACGTGGCGTATTTCATGGAAAAGCCACTCTGTTATAATCTTGATTTGCGACGCCGCGCAATGACTCATTTCCCAAAATAATATTCTACTGTGAAAAATCGCACGTGATGAGTCGTTTTTCGGTTTCTAAGGCTCGAAGAAATTTAGATCACTTATTACCGGAGAGCGAGAGGCTCGGTCACGCTGACGAGGGTCTGTGGTCAACTAGCGTTGATTAGAGAGAAACGAGACGAAACATAAAAATAAGATACAGGAGAAATAAATATGCGATGGCCTACTTGTGTGACATTAAATTTTAATTTTACGACACTAACGAATTTGGAATCAACTTTTCCACACGCGGAAATTTCAAAGGATATGAATTGATTTTTTTTCAAACTCAATATTAAATATTATCTTAATTAAATATTTAACATATTACAAAGTTGACTGAATTAGCAGAAATAGATTCCATTTGAATTTAAATGAAGAATGATGCATTATTTTTATTGGCTTATTATTAATATTGGCTGTCTATTCCGTATTTGTTCACGTTAACTGATAACATTGTTTTAAAACAAATACGCTTAGCTATTGTTTTATCCTGCATCTTATTATATTTTGTTATATTTGAACTTTAAAAGCATCATATATGCACCTCTTTTACGTCATGGATTTAACTGTGATATAAATAGGCCAGAAAAATTCAACCGACGACGATTAACGTCGACGAGTAGCGTCACTAGCGTGTACTGTGCAATCGACCCTAAGGGTCGCCGTTGCCCTCTCGGTTAACCAATTCTAACAGCTGTCCTTTTCGAGATCGGAGTTTCGATATAAACAGTGAGGAAATATTGAATTGAACGCGACACATTTGCGACGCGAATATACTACTGACTCCGAATTTGTTATATATTGCAGATCACAATAAGTGAGCTGCGAATCGTTAATCAGATATTTAAATTGTGAGCGTAGACAGATGTAAAAACTACTTTGGATGGTAATGATTTTTAATTGTTAAATGTTTCAAAAGATTGGATTCCTTCAAAGATAGATTTTGATCGTGAGATGCGATCCATTATGAATCGCATCGAATATTATTAACATATATCACTAAATGTTTATTATCGCGTGTAGAAAAAAGAATCGCGGTATCGCTCGCGCTGTGTGCATACTCGCATTTTCTATATATGCATAATTAATATCGCACTTCTATATTCGCACGTTACTTTCTGAAGTTTCGAAGCAATAAATTATGATAGTAGTTAAAGTCATTAAGCCGATTTTGTGCCAAATCGTTACGTGGGAAGGAAACAGTTTCTCCCGGATTCATTTCGGAGCAAAACAGTTGCACAATATGATATGGTATGTTTCCCACGATAAAGAACCAGCTTTAAGAACGCAACGGAAATTACTATACTGCAGTAGGAATTGCAAAAGTCACACGCGAAAAAGAAGTTTTCGCCGTTCTCCCGTTCGGCTATCTTCCGCGAAGAAGGCTTTGCGGGGATCGGCTCCGAAAAGAAGCGCAAGAACTGCCTCACGCGCATATACAGGCATACAAACACACATCCATTCATATACTACATACACACCGACTAGCAGCACTCGCTTAGTGCTGCGAGGGCACCGTGCTGCGTTACGTTCTGACCCGTATTATTTTTCTCTTGGCGCACGTCCCCACTCTGCATTCACTCGCTCATCCGCGCACCCCCCTCTTCGCCACGTCCCTGTCCCCACCGCCGCACGCACGCACGAATTACGCAGAAACGGATAAACAACACGCGAGAGAGCGCGTCAATGAAGACGAAACGGCGGGAGGTCGGACGCGCTTGACAAGCAGCGACGGCAAACCGTGGCGGCAGCGGCGGTGGCGACCACCGCTGTCGTCAATCTACTTTGCTTTATTGTTGTCTTTCATTGTCAACATAATGGGCAGTACAGCGCGCTGATGAATTTAAGGATCTCACTCACACACACACACACACACACACACATACACACACGAACCGACTGAGGAAGTAGAAACAACCTAAGGGCAGATATGAAATGGGCGGCGGAAAGAAATAAATGTAGGGAACGAGAGAGACTTTAAGAATGACAGTAAGAAGAGGGAGGGATAAGAGAGAATGAAAAGAAAAAAAGGAGAGACAGACGTCGGCCAAACACGGCAAGCCGATACCATGCAGGCGGAAAAAAACAAGATTTAACGACAATGAACGAGCGAGTGTGCGTCGCGCGCGGAGAAAGAGACGAGGGGGCGAAACGCGATACCGAATTGCGTAGATTTGCGTTATGTACTCACTCTTTTCAGTGGTGTTTAACCAGATCTGTCGCGTCCTGTCGTATTCTCCGGTGAAAACGTCGACGTAGGTCGTACCAGGCGACAAGAGAACGTTATAGCAGAAAAGCGTGGAACGACGTCGGCGGCGATGGCACACACACGCGCGGGGTCACGCACTCTCTCTCCACTTCGCTCCGCGCGCGCGACTCGTCTCTCGTTGTGTCCGTGCGACGGAAAAACAACACCCGGCGTCCTTTTCCGTTCTGGTCACCCCCTCTTCGTCTAATGCACGAGGGCAGTGTACTCTCTTTTTCTCACACGCTCGTTTTCTCTCCCTCTTTCTCTCTCTCTCTCACTCTCTCGCTTTTTCTCTTTCTCTCTCTCTCTCTCTCTCTCGCACTCTTTCCGGCGCGGTTGAACGGCAAACAAACGTACGAACGAAATAAAAAAAATCAAACCGACACCGCACCAACAACGCGCGGTTCACGGTTTGGTGCGCAGCACGTACGGGTGCGTATATTGTTTTTCGGAGCAACAGTCAGATGTTACAAAGGCGACGCGCGCGGTACGACACATGCGAATGTTACTCGGTGTGTTTCACGCACGAGACTCCTCTCTCACTCTCTCGACGCGTGAGTGGACGATGACGGTGACGGCGACGACGATTCGACGTAACACGACGATCAAAATGGCGTTTGTCCGACTGCCCGCGCGCGCGATCAGGTGGAAAATGCCGGAATGCCGCTACTAGGAAAGATCGACTGGCGAGGTCTGCAGCCCTAAGTGGTTTGACGTTAAGAGAACGAGCGGGACGAACTAAAACATGTGCGAGAGAGACGCGTGCGAGACAGCAGGAGAGGGTGCGAGTGAGACAGAGAAGACGTACGCCGATGGAGGAGGAAGCGACCACACGCGCAAAAGAGACGACGGCTCGGCTGCGACTGAGTGGGGGAAGACGGCGCGGAAGGGATAGGAGAAACATAATGTCCCCCCCCTCATCGCAACGTCCATGCGCACGGACAACTTCGACTACCTCCGATTGCTTTCGACCGCGAAAGCAGGGCCGTCTAGCTCGGTTAGGCCTAACGCGGTCGAGCATTTTCCCCATTATTAAAATTAATGGCTTAAATGCGGATCTCGTGTCGCATGCGCCACTTTTGCTCGGCCGGCGGCGAATTACATTCGACGCGACGAACCCTTGCGCGATGTAACGCAATCGCAAACGCATCGTGACGCGAACGACACGATACTCGTCTCTCTTATCGAGAACTTGGAGAATTGGCGAATAAAGAGTAACCGCGATTGCCGATCTTTTTCTATCTACCTCAATGCGTTCTCACGAGTTATGTAGATTCGCTCTCAAGGCATCAAGGATAGTCTCTCTTCCTGTTTCGCTCGTTCGCCCTAAGGCGGCCGTGGGTGGTTCGCGCGTCGCTTCTTCCCTCTCTGATTTACTTTGCTTCTCCGTTCCTTCGGCCGGCCCGCTTCACGCGCTCGTTCGTCCGTCTCGCGAGGAATTTCTAAAAATCAATATACGCGTGCGAGGAGGCGAGAGAAGGGGATGCAAAGCACAAAAAAAAGAAAATATTCGATATTTCGTTCGCCCTGGCTCTTCTCCTTTTTCTCCCTTCTTCCCCGATGCGTCTACCGCAGTTTTTCTTTTCGTTTTTCCTTTTTTTCGTTATCCTCTCGTAAAGCGAATCGCGCGCATTCGGTCTCTTTTCCTCTCTTTTTCTCGTAATCCAACGTCGCGAACAGTCGGTAGGAGAAGGCGGGGAGAGAAGGGAGGAAGAAACCGATCGGTTTCAAGGAAGAGGACTTGCCTCGGAGGAGGCCGGAGGAAATCGCGCGAGGAGCGCTCTGTAGAAGAGCGCGGGAGAGTTTATTTTCTCAGAAATGCGCTGTGCACTTGGTATAGTCTCTGCCTTCTCGCGTTGCCTCCCGAATAAATTCATTCAGACGCGCTCGCTCGTTTGCTCTTTCGCACGCACGCGGGTCGGGGAGTCTTTCACTTCTCCGGCATTTCCTTCCCATCCTTCTGCGCGTCGCATACACGATGCACATGCGGACACGCGGATGGCAATTAAACGGGTTAACGACATTTCGGCTTACATGTTTGACTGAACAATATAATCTACACCTCGGCATCGTTTAATTGGCAGGAACGCCAACACCAAGTCGATCGTCAAGAATGTGTCTCATGGGAAGATCGGGCTCAATCGCGCGAAAATCGGTCCGCATTAACCGTGCCTCGGTGATAATATCCTTCTCCTGTGTTATTTTGTAATAATGTGCCTATTTCTGAACGATTATACGCTTTTTTCATTAGCAATGTAGATGTGGCATGAAAGCTACGTCGCTTGAGAATTACTTGCTGCAATTGTTAGTTAAGCTTTTAACAGAATATAAACGAATAACGCAACATTGCTCTGTACGGTCAATCTCAAATGGATTTTAGCGGGAATTTAATTTCAAGGTTGAACACCGCGACAGAGAATATCGAAAACCGAAGCTGGAAATTTCAGAATAACGCTTCGCGACCAAATTAGAATCGCTCTCGTTTTAGATACGGATGACTCCAAATTCGTCACGGAGCATTCCTCTAAAGTTCGTCACATTACTAATGAGACATCCCGTTCGCCGGGTTTACAATTATGATGTAGAAATGTGGAATTACCAGGCATAGTTAACCGATCGAGACTGTCGGTGCAATCGGGCCACGGAAAGATATCGCGACCGGATTCTGTTCGATTGTTCGATTCGCGTACGCTTTCACCTTTCTACTTCAGGCCCGATGCTCTTTTTAGCACGCGTTTTAGAATCGACGCTACAAAGCAATAATTCTTGATTCGCTGATCATTAGCGAGATCTTGCGGGTCAAGAAAAGCGAAGCTCTGGGATCACGGTTCGATTTTCGAGAATTGTCAGATTTTACCTCTGCCGTGATTTTTATCGTGATAAAAAAATAGTTTCCAAGATCTTTTATAATTGCACAAGAAGGTACGAACCGACAATTGAATTATTGCGCTAAAATTACAGTCCCCGATTACATTAATGAAATTGTATTAAATGGTTTTAATACTATTGTAATAAATAATAAAATTTTGCTATTCTTTCCTGTATAACAGTATTAGTTTAATATGCAGTTTTTTAAATATAGTTTGCGCTTTAAATATAGCTCCTAAAATATCAAGTTATCAAGAGGAGATTATTTATCAATGATTGTTAACATGCAATAAGAAATTCTGCTTTGACGTATTCTCGTCGATGTTTGCAAAAGTCGCGTTTTCTCTTTTACTAAGAGAACTGGCTTAGAAGGATAAAATGGAAGAACAAAGAGAAAAATGAACTGCACAGTTTCTGCTAATCCGCATTGTAGAAGCCGTGATCACGAACACGATTAAAAGAAAAATTATTCGTTTCATTCCTTACACAGCTTTCCAAAATTTTTACCTTATTAAAGAATATCAGATCAAAATTTAACGATTGTCTCTCAGAAGTATGAGAGAGAATTTGCGCGATTCCTGACGAGTGTTTTCTTCCTTCAAAGGTTTACTAGATACGATTTTCTCTTAGGCTTTCGAACCAAAGTCATTTTTAATCGACGATCGAAACCGGTAGAACGCCAATCAGTTTAAGTTTCGATATTATAGAAAATGCGCAAATGATTTTGACGTTTTTTATTCATGACGAGAACGGATGTGTTTTCGCATATCTATAATAACGAAACATTAACTCGACGAAATATACCGGTTTCACTTCTCTCGAGTCGATCGAAAATCGTAAGAATGGTACATCTTACGATCGATCAGATACAGCGAGATTGAGTTACAGTGCCTGTAGCATACTCTCGGTCGTAAAGTCACGTCGTCATGATTAAAGGCATGACACTACTTAGCAAAGAGCGTATATTCTAAGGCTTTCATTCCGCAAGGGAGTGCCGATAATGAAGTTTACGTGCAGTTGGGAGCATATCATAATATATATGGTAATTATAAACGCATAGAGATAATATAATATATATATATATCTATATATATATATCATACAATGCAGCACACCCTAACCACAAGTACTCGCCCCGGTGTCTATATGTCTGAGTAATTGTCTGAGGGTTTATTCATACTGATAAATGTAATCAAAAGCTTAGTAAAATCAAAAACAGTAAAATTAGCCGAAGCGTTGGTTTCATGTGCGCTAGGGACCGGGGTGAGAAAGAAATGTATTATATACATATATACGGCTGGACCAAATGTAACGTATCGCAGCCGCAAAATGTTTGATGCAGCACCGCCCCGAGAAAAAGGGGCCGACACAAAAATTTGAAGACTGGATTGTGTGCTTGTGTGTGTATGGATTAAAAGGAAGATGACAATAGCGAATCAGCGATTCATCAGCGTTTCATAATCGCAACGAAAAATCGCCCTGCAATCGGCACCGCTGCGTTTCTCCGCACGCAAGAAAGGGAGCAGAAAAAAAAGTGGACAAGAGATCGATTTCCTGTGTGCCGCAACACAGAGCCGAGCGTACAAGTCGCCAAGTCGAGCGGTGTTTTGCGCGTGCGATGATATTAAAAAAAAAAAAAAAAAGAAAAGAAAAATAGACGAGAAAACAAGAGATCGATTTCCTGTGTTGTACAGCCACCGTCGAGTTGCTTTCAGGAGCCCGTTTTATATTAAATGCAGACGTATAACAAATATCAGTCTTTTTCTTACCGGATTATTCTTTTTTACGGAATTACTTTTAAGAATCAAAATTGGAATAATTTTGTTGAGATCACTATTTTCATACTAAAGGCGCGCGAAAGCGAATTATATGTCTATTTGCTTGCTATTTCTTCGCGCGCCCATAGTATTGAAAATTGAAATTATATCGAAATTATACCAATTTCAAGCACCTGCTTGCGTGATTCAGATGCAATATGCAATACTATCGTGAACTATCGTGTGAGAATGTTTCGCTTGATAGTTTTAGAAGATTGCAGTTAACGTATTCACGGTAGTCTTAAAAATCAAAATTTCTCAGAGAGTTCGGATGTTGATGCTACAGATACGCGAAAATGATTTAAATGATCGGTTTCGCTATCTTAACTTTAGTTTCATCGATTCCCTTTTCTTTCAACTAACAAACTAACAAAGAATCGGTTAAATTATGGTAAAAATAACGTTTGCGAAATCGATCATAAATTTTATGACAGCGTGAACGCGATAGCCAAATATGATTTTTCTGTATCTGTAGCATTGATCGAACTCACCGCAATTTCGCTGCTTTCAACTGTCAATTGGCGGTGTTAGATTTTTGGAAAATTGACTCGTAATCACGCTTTGGCACCTACTTGCAATTCTCGGATGCTGCTGCTGCTGCTCGTACAGAGTGCTGGGAGAACAGTGCTTGCGAGAGAGGCGAAAAACAAGTAATAGTAGAAGAGGAGGAAAAAGAAGAAGAAATAGAGAAGAATCGGCGTTACCTGTACGCTAAACTCACCAAGGGAATCGGCCTGTGGTCTCGACCGGAAGCGTCCGGAAGTCGCACTCGGTATCGTGGAGAACGTTCAGCCAATCCCGCGCCACCTCCTACAGCGAACGTGGGCTTGGGATTGGCTGCTGCTCAACTTCAAGGCCGCTGTTGATGCTTCTCCTTTTGCCCTTCTCCCAACAGGCCCCGAGTGTGTTGTGCACTACATGGCCGTGCGCGAGGCCCAGCGGAGAACAGCTCCGATCGGGGTGGCGACTCCGCGATTCCGCCGCTCTGGAAAAATGCTAGCGCTTCGATCGGATTGTCGAATCGGCGCGACGACGAAAGAGAAGCGGCGGAATTGTCGGGTCTCTCACAACCCGATGAACGGAGGAGAAAATGCAAAATAAATATTCGGAAATCTGGATACTCGGAACTTGAAAAATTTTCGCTAAGTATATGTATATATATATCCGCGCTATACGAGATATCCAAGGAACATTCGAGAATGTCCATTAAATATCCGAGTTCGTATGAAGTAGAAAACGGTAGTTCCGTGATAGGATAGGAGGAGAAAAGGGCTGCCTTTCTTGCAGGCAATTTTTTTTCCATGAATTCTTACTATCTATCGTCTCGAGCATGTCGATTTATGTCGACGACGCCGACGCAATGCGCCAAATAAAGACCGGAGTGGCAAGCCGATCATTAATTTATAATGCCAGATTAGAATATGGGTTGGAAAAAAAAATTCTTACAATTTTATTCACTATGTGTCGAATCGGTATATTGATGCATAATAATAGGCCAGATCGCTCCTCGAGAGGAAGTGACTTCGCATAATTTGGTAAAAGGCGTCGTTTAACAATGTATAAATTGGGATTTTTGGATGAATCGAATGCACCTTGCGGTGTATAGCGTAAAGCGCGTTGCGTAGGACGATGCTTCAACGTGAGATATTTTATACGATAAAATTGAATTTTTTCACTTATCAATTAATGACTGTTGAATTTTCAGAAAAACGGAAAGTGTGTCGAATACATTCTACCACAATTCCACGCGAAAAATAAAAGGAAAGAGCATCGTCACGCAACTGTATCTTCTTTAAAGCTTAACTGATCGGGTCAGCTGTTAAATTTAGCGTATGAAATAATACAAATATATGACGCGGTATACGAGATGTCCCGCTAACTGCGTACTTCCTCTCTTTAATCTTAATAAACCTCTCTTTAATTTTAATAAATTTTGAGTCTTTTATTATTTCACTTTTAATCAGAGTTCTTTAAAAATTAACAATTTTATAAGTATCAATTTTCGAGTCTAATTCTGCAACTGATTCTGATTAATTTTTCACACATACTAGTGCAATAATCTCGCCAAAAGGAGATTTTGCTTCTTAGCCGTTAAGGAAGCGCGCGTCTTCAGGACATCTAGTATAAGTGCATGTAACGTACGGCAATCGGCCATGTGTGCGCACGATTCACAGACTGTAGACGGGCGGCTCTCTTGCAAGCGAAAGGGCGAGGTGGGTTAGCGCCGGTTAGCCAGCTAATGGGCTGCTCCTGGATTTTCGTCTGCGACGATGGAAAGATAGCGTCGGGCTCTCCCTTCCTTATTTGGGCCGCGTGCGGGGGTGATTTTCCGGGAGGCAAAATTCCAACTTCCAACTGTTGCGCAAATACCGTGGCGCAAACGCAGTTTTGAAGGCGTGGCAACCGACAAAGGGCTCGGAAACAGCCGATAACGTGCCGCTTTCCATTCCCTCTCTTCTTTTTCTTTTTCTCTCTCTCCCGCGGTCTTTTTTACACCGCCTTGTTACGCACCAACTGCGGAGCGGTAAGCAGCTTGGCCATAGAGTAAAAATGTGCCTTGTGGCAGTTGGAGACGCAGGTTCACAAATAAGACACGGAGCGGGCGGTGGTGATAACGGTGGCCATGTCCAACGAGGGGCCTCTTATTCGACGTGCGAACGGCACGGGCGTCTGGAATCCAAAACACACAAGTTACTTTATCATAAATACCGCTAAGGATGGTGTCGTTTCATCGCCTCGTCGTTCACTTCCTTTTTCTCCGTCCTTCTCTCTCTCTCGATTCTGTTTCACTCGCACGATACATACCACACGCATCTCTTTCATCCTTCCTTTTTCGAATTTTCTCTCTCTCTCTCATCTATACTCATCCACACATACAATACACATTCTCTTTCTCTCTCTTTCTTTGTGTCTTTCTCGCTTACTATTAAAACTGCCCGACGCATTTTCCGTGACGCACCGCGCACGACAACACGGAGGCCCGCCGATCGTCGGGTTGCACGATGGTAAAAAGTTGTGGACGCGTTTAACCTAGAAAGCGACGCCCCGCTGTGCTGCAATCGACTTCCTCATCCTCCTCCTCGTCGTCGTCGTCTGTTGTGGCAGGATGCACCACGCGATCGATCCATCGCGTGAAATTTATTGCCTCTTTCCCTCTCTCGACAGCGACGAACGCGCACACGCGAGCACGCACGGACGTTAACGACGAATATGCGTACCGTCGAACGAACGTCGGGGAAATCACGGGATTTCGACGCGACGCTACACAGAGAGATGACCGCGATGGCAAGCGAGGCCCGCGCTTCCTACGTGACGACTCTTCGTGCCGCGCGCCACTCGACGACGACGGCGGCGGCGGCGGCAGCGACGGCAACAGTGGCGGCGGACGATAACGACGCGAACGATCGAACGAGGAAAAAATAAAGGCTGACGTGGTGCACCACGGAGTGCATGTGAAGGATCGCCTCCTCGAAACGCGTACAACTTCCGACGACAGCGAGGTGCTGACGGAACACCGACCGGGGAACGCGATTCTCCCTCTACCATGGTAAGCGAGCGCGACGACGGAGTGGCGTTGGTTCTGTGCTATTCCTCTTTTTTTTTTTTCTTTCTCGACTCGCTCGCTATGACGCACAAGCTTATGGTTGCGATCGATAGATTTTTCGCGGAAATGCGGTTATTATTATCGAACTGTCCGGTTCGCTCTTTGCGGTTGGAAAATATCGCGATGACGAAAATAACAGACGGCGATGTCAGGGAAAGAGAGGCCGACGGCAGAAGTGACAAACAAATGTTTCTAACCTCAAACTGTCGTTTCAGGACGTCTCCGCGTTCTCCGAAGATAACTTCGACGTGAAAGAATGGATCAACCGGACCTTCAAGTCCGCCGAGGCGCAGGAAAACAAAGATGTAAGTCGTACTCAGTCGTGTTGACATGATTTTCGAATTTGAGTCGCGTTTGTTGCAATGCCCCATAATGCCCGTCGGCCGTCGGCTGTCAAACTGACTGCTTCTATGCGACGGCGGTCAATGACACTAGCTAGCTGTTTAAAAAATAATTTTTTTACGGTGCGTTAGACAAAAGCATTGGTGATCAGAAGACGATATTCGAGCTCACGCGTTTCGTACATCAAAATATTATCGACAAGTAATAAACATTTTTGTGCTTATATAGCATCATGCATATTTTTTCATACATATTTTATGAATTATGCAGATATGTTTTTTTACATATATGAATAATAAATTATTATCTTTTTCATAACATGAGTTTTAATATTTTAGTATTAATATTATTGTGGATTCAATGGATTTGTATCAATGACATAAGAAAATAAATAAATTTAATAAGTAATTATATAATAATATAAACAATTCTTTTGACGTTTATCTTGTTCTGTATTGTTAATTTATTAATTTTATCATATATATGTAGAAGAGGATCCAAACAAATGTTAAAAATTTAAATTACAGGCTTTTGTTTCATCACTAGTTATGAAGTTGCAATTGTATGTACAACAAGTTAATGGTGCCTTGGAAGAAAATAGTCAATCAGTTCTTTCTAGTTTACCGAGAATATTAAGAGACACTCAATTGCTGCAACAAGAAACTTTAGCACTGAGAGAGAAAATGGTTGCTGTCAAGCAAGAAATTGCCAAGGTTGTTACATTTATTTAATTAATTATAATTCTTTACGTACATAGTATTAATTAAAAAAAAATTGGAAATAGGTCGAAAAAGATACAGCCTCCTCTATGGCAATGCTGGAGAAAATTGACAGGATAAAAACTGAGTTACAAACTGCTAAACAAGGATTACACGAGGCTGATAATTGGACAGTGTTAGCAAATGATGTGGAAGAGGTATGTAAAAATTTTTTTAAAATAAAATATGTCATAAAAAATTATGTAATTTTTCTTGATAAAATAGATATTTGATGTGTAATATTTCTCTTATCAAAATAGGTATTTGAATCTGGTGATATAGAAGCTATATCTAATAAATTGTTTAGCATGCAAAAATCTTTAGCTATGCTCGCCAACGTTGTTGATTACGAGGATAAAAAGCTTCAGTTGGAAGGCTTGAAAAATCGTCTCGAGGCAATGGCTAGTCCACGATTGGTTCAAGCTTTTACTGCTGCTAATCTAGGTAAAACCTGTGAAGTTTGAATTAATTTAATGCTTTTTTCAGAACATTTAATTAATCAATGCTATCTTGTGTTTAGAGCAATCCAAAATTTACGTGGACATTTTTAGCAAAATGGAACGTCTACCGCAACTTCTCAAATATTATCACAATTGTTTAAAAGTTTCTTTGGGGCAAGAATGGAGACGCACTATTGAATTAGCGCAGGATGAAAATGTTACCTATTGGCTACATACATATTATGATAAACTGTTGTCTTCTTGGCACGAACAGGTACGTTTTTCCAGTTTAGAATATTATTTCTTTATCGAGTATTCTTATACTTGTTCGTATTAAAGGTGAAATGGTGCCATCAAGTATTTCCCAATACTTCGATAGATATCCTCATCGAAGTTTATGCTGACCTTTTGAGGAGTCTAGATCCTGGCATTTTGGAATGTATAGAGGCTGTTTTGAAACAACATTCGAACGCCGTACAATTATCTATACTGCTCGAACTGAAGCAGATGACGAGGCATTTTGCCGTCAACTTGAGCGGCGCTATCGAAACGTCGCTTCGCGGAAAATTGCAAAACGAAAAGTTACTCTCGTTAGCGCAAGCTATATATGCTCCTTACGTTCCTTATGTCGCAAAATATAATACATTTGAGACCGCACAATTGGAACAGCAACTGCAATTCTTGGATCGTTCGCATGACGACTTAAGCGATACTATTAATTCTCTTTCTCTTAGCATTTCGAGAATTATGGGCTATGCTAACGAAGCCAATAAGCGTTGTAAGCTTTTTACAGAAGGTTGTGGATATCCCGGTTTACTAAAATCATTAAACGTATGTTTAAACTAATAATTTTTCTCGCATGAATGCAGTCGATATATATAAATTACATTATATATAAATTATATTGATAATTTTAATGTCTGTAGATTTATTTCAACAAATATCTCGAAAAATATCAGCAAGATTTGAGACAACTCGACCGCAAAAAAGTGAAACAAGAAGATTGGAATTTGTTTCAAATGTGTCTCACATTGATGCAAACTATAGGTGATCTTTTGCATCAAGTACAACAATTCGAAAAGTCACTCGTGATCGATATCACAGAAGCTAATAACAAATTGCAAAGTACAAATGAAAGCGTTTTTTGCCAGTATAAAAAGTTATTGCTAACTGCATCGGGATGTGTTGATCTGGAAAATCTTGTTGCATCTTTCCAAAGAGGTATGGCATGTACGTAATATTATAGAATAAACACAAGTCACTAAATTTTCTTCTCTTTTGCAGAGGACAAGACAATTCTCGATTTGATCATAAAATCTATTCAGAAACTCTGTTCTGATTTGCATCGCACGACGTACGAAGTCATTTTTGCTCCGATATTCTCTCAACTATTACTGGTGCAAAAAGCACCGGCCTGGTCATTAGAGACCAACAAAATGTCGAATCTGAGTTTAGATCTGCCCGATTACAGCTTTGCTCCTCAAGAGTATATTACGCAAGTCGGACAGTATCTAATGACATTGCCGCAGCACTTGGAGCCGTTTTTGTTGAGAGATAATCCGAGTTTAACGCAAGCGCTCAAGGCAGCCGATCCACAGTACGCTCAAGGATCGACGGAATCCGGATTTACAGGTATCCTCTTGGACATCGTTGCTCGAGGAACGTGCCAAATGTTCCAAGATCAGACCTTGGGCATTTGTCAACTTAACTCTGTTGCTTGTAAGCAGCTCGCAACTGATATTGGTAAGTCTCTCTTTAATTTTGCAATTTCCAAAGAGGCGGTAAAAAAAATAATTGAGTTATGTGTGTTGCAGACTATCTCGGTAATGTGTTGGAGGAGCTCGGTCTGTGTTTATCGGAGAATCTGCAACACATGTCATTATTACTGAGATTACAGCCGGAGGATTATCAGAGCGGTAGCTCAGGATGCAATGCCCGTGTCGTGGCTGCTGTCAGACAAATGCGCAATATTACGTCTTCCGGCTGATGTTAAATCCGTCTTTAATATATCTTTGGCCAATCAATTTCATGCAGCATTTAAGCGATATCCAGAAGTTTTCTATATTGTAAAAAGTAAAATTATGTAATATATATGAACATAAACTTTTTCGTCTTTTTATTCGACATACGTTTATAAGACGTCTTCACCTTCTTTCTGTTTTATGAATGGAAAGATTCTTGAAAAACTTGAATTTTATAGGATATAAAATTTTAGATCAAACTTAAGAATGTCATAAATATATTTTCTGATCAGGACAAGTGCGGACACTCACCAAGGATTATACTGTAATGTCATTTATTCGTTATACTATGTTTGCACTGAAATACTGTTAACCAGATCTCATTTCACATCTTTAATAATTTATCCGAGACTCAGAGTAACTTCGTTTTAAATGTATCCTTCATTCTGCTTCTTTTTTTACGCTGTCGAGATACACAACTATAAAACAAATTATAAAGATCGCAGCACCACAATAGCTCGGGACACAGTTTATGCGTCGGAGGCGTAAATACTTACAAAGAACAAGATATATATATATATATATATATAAGATCTAGGAAACCGACCGCTTTTTTAATACCAATAGAGATTCAGTTGAGCATTTTCTTCAACTCTCACACTCACTCTCTTATCACATATGCTCGCATATATAAAGTCCGAGACGAGTACGTATTAACGTCTTTCAACGAGTCGCGTTAGATGTAGATAAAATGCAGCAAATGCGTATGTATTTCAATTCTGGGTGAATTATGTGTTATTTGAATTAAATAAACAAATCTATTTAACACAGATTTGTCATAAGAATCCATTTGTACGATTTATGCATACACCGCGAAGAGAATCAAAAGCATTTGCTACATTTTTCTTTCTCGATTGTATCGTGAACTTCGTGTAGAACGTATACACGTCAAATCAACAATCGTTAATCGAGTAACAAATTGAGTATTTCACTCATCGAACGTTTAACTGACATACGCCGCGTCCCGCGTATTTCTCTTTTCTAATTTACGTTAATTACGCAATACGTTAATTTTACTTAAGATAGACAATGAACGTTAAAGTACAGCACGATAAACTATATATACGAATTTGTTAACATATACGATTAATTCAAAATAATTATGACACTTGTGCGTAAGTCTTCCACGAGCGTACTTACATTTCTGTAGTGAAAGAACATCCTACAAAATGTAATAATAACAATATAATTAAAAGTTTTAGTTGAAGTAAGTAGAGTTCGACGTCTTTGTGCTCGAATAATAAGATAAAATATATCCTGAATTATAAGTGCAATAAAAACTGATATAAAGTTAAGAATACAGCCAGTGTCATAGAACGCTCGCTCTATCAAAGTGTACATTGGTATCTTGCCCTCGAAGTGTGCAACAACAAAACTAACTTCGTAAAATGTTAACAATATGCCTAACAATTTGTCACAAGACAATAGACAAATCGTTGGTCCTTAAGCGGGATTATTGATCATTTTCTAAAGTTTTCAAGAAACCTGCGCAATTTCTTAAACTTCAGGTCTCGCGAAGGAGAATAGCCATTTAATTAAGTTCACACAATATTCTGCGACGCATATACAATCGTCAAACACAGTTCATTAAACAATTACTATGGTAACGAAAAGGGGAATACGAATAATCGCGTGGCACTATTCAATATGGCTTGAGTTCCTACTAATCTTTTTTTTTTTCTGCTGACTAGACTTAATTTGTTCGATTACGTTTCGCAATATCAAAGTCATTCTATGTAGTTTTACAGTCGCCGGGTTGAGAGACTCCTTTATTGTTCGCGACGATCGCCCCGTGTCGTCTTGCCGGGAATCAGCGTTTCGTTGATTCCGTTAACGAATTATTCTACGTCACTCGACTACATCGCAAGTATGGCAAAGTTTTATTACATATAATCAAAGCTTATTCTTAAAGCAGATATACTGCGTGCAATATGTATCAAGTCCTCCCTACTACAACAGCACTACCAAACGTTAGCATATAAAAGCTAGACTGAACTCTCGAGAGAGTTTTAAGGTATACACGGGGGAAAATACTGAATGTCTAACACATTTCGGGATGATTGTGAACAACGGTGTAACCTGACCCGGCGTGATCGGAGTTCGATATAAATATTATTATTTTTGTTTCCCTAAAAAATGAAAAAAGCTGTCGGAACGTTTTTCCCTCCCTTCCTCTCATTTCCGCGTGTATCTAGAAAAGACAATTTTTTTTCCGAGTAATAAAACTAATAATTAATAAATAAAATTGATGGACAAAAAGCTAAATTAAGAAATACTGGACAGGGAGGAGGTGCTAGAGATGTTAAATTGTATACATTGCATGTATCGCCCTAACTGATATTCGCTGCTGACCAATAGTATACCTGGTTTGTGCAAAATTAGATTCGCACACCGATGGAGATATTCTGCTTCCATTAGAAAAAATTAGAAAGAATCATTATAATCTTCTCTAATGTGGTCAGCAGCTGGTAGGTTTCATGCCACCTTCTTCTTACTGATCTTCTTACTGCGAGGCAGGGTAGCGAAACTCGTAATCTGAAATGTGCACAAAAATATAATGTTATTATCTTATAATTTTTTTACTATGTGTGTATCTGTCTAGAATTCAGATGGTATATTGTCAATCCCTTTTACCATTTTTGTTTTCACATTTTAGTGAAATTTTAGTCAGTAGTTTCGTGAAAAAACAACGCGGGTAAGAACACATTAAAAAAAAATAAAAAAATTTTATCTATATATATAAATATATATGGATCGTTATATTGTAAACCGATTGTAAAATAGTTAAGTATTAAAGCTGGAATTTTCTGATTTTGAACAAGCGGGAATTATTGGTTTCTATAATTCATAAAAATGATAGATTAATTGCATTATGATATGTTAAAATAAATATCATGCAGGAATATACAGTTAAAGGCTAATGTTATGTTATCACTAAAGAAATTGGAGTTAATTGTGAATTAATAATTGTGAATTAACAAGACACTCAGAAACTACGATTCATACGATCTGAATGGATCAGTCCATCTCTTCTGTCCGGATTTCCAATAAGGATAAAATATTTATGAAGAAATGGAATGAAATGGATAGAAATGGGATAAAAAAGGAACAAGCCCTTCTTATATTTCAAAGGTATAAGCAAACATATGCAATTTTAACGCAAAGAAAATGATTCTCTGTTTAGAAATGTAGCTTTTAAATATCGGTAATAATTTCTTTTCTGCCACCACGAGGTGACGTTTGTGACATCTCACGAATTTCCAAGTCACATTTATTTTCAACATTCTTTTCGCCCTTTTCGAAATTTTTCACATTCTTTGCATCGTCTCCCACTTCAATATTTTCAATTTTATAAACATTTGTTTTGGCTTCATTCGAAGAGACGATTTCAGTCTTCAGTTTTGCATCAGAAGGATAAATACTACCTTTATTTGGATTTTTGATATTGTCATTACACTCCAGTCTCAGTGGAATCTCCTCCACGTCCATTTCCTGTTTTGAAGTTGATAATTTTGCGGAGGCATCAGCAAACGTCTGGGATCCGATGCTACTCGATCTTGATGGAGATCCGCTGGTCTCGGAAAACGAGGAACTGGAATCTTCTTCCTTAGGGGAAGTCTCATTTTGCTCCTTGTGGAAAGCACTGTGAAAAATGCTCTTCGGGATCGTTAATAATTTCGAAAAACTCTCCTTAGCGCGTAATCTGTTAGACTTCTTCTTTTTCTTCGTCGAATTCGGCGTATGCGCCAAGAAAATGTCTTTAGTAGTATCCGCGTTTGGAACCGTTCTTAAGGTTCCAGTTTTAATGACTAAAGTGGCCTTCAAAGCATTTTCAGATTCACTTTCGTTAATGTCCTCATTATTCATTGACGCTTCATTGTTTATTGGTGCTTTCGGAGCGGGTTTCTTATGATACTTTCCTGCACGACTATCGCCGTCAAGATTGTAACTCGATGAACCTGGCGTAGTAGGATGCTCAGGTGTAGCATCGCGAGGGCAGGCGATTGACGAATCGTTAGCTTTTGTTTCCAGTACACTCGCTTCCGGTACCGTACTCAATTTTTCCTGAGAAGATACGATGCTTGTCATAGCTTTATGCGCATCGTCCAATAATTGTTTTAGCTCATCGAACTTTTGTTGACAAATTTCGCCAGTTATTCGTTCGAGATCAACATTGACATCGGGTTCTTGGTAAGCGGAAAAATCCGTTTGATTATTTCTCGATTCGTCATCGATTTCATTTGGCTCAACACTTTGAATTTGCTTAGACTCGTTACATTGCAAATCAGATTCTTTGATCGATGTATCGATGTTTATTTTGTCTGTGCTTTTCGTTACTGTAGGTATGAACACATTTTCCGACGATATATTTTTAATCTCTACAGTTTGCATTGTTTTTACGTCTATTTGTGCCACATCGGTGTCAACGAATTCGCCGCTAGACTCTGTCGACGACGATTCAGTGTCTTCCATTTTCGTCGCAGATTGACTTTCGCTCGCAATTTTATTGCTATCGGCACAAATCGTTATAGGTTCAATTGTCGAATGATTCAATTTATTACTTTGTGAAAATAACAGCAAAAGCTCAACAGCTTGTTCGGGAGTAAGGATATTTAAGGACGAGGGAAGGGAAATATTTTCGGGACATGGAAGATCGATGCGGTTGAAATCCTCGTCCCTGTCCTTCAAAGACCATAAAAAAATATATATCATTAACTGAGTTAACGAACGTGTGTCGAAGAACAATGTGCGATTCTTTTTGGGACAATAATCTCCGTGTATATTTAATTCTTAATCTCTAAGGTGCGCTACTCTGTCGGGACTTACTTCTGGTGTCTTCTTCGTGGTGGAACGAGGCTTCACGCGTGTTCTCGCACCAACGCTCGATGTTCTTACTAAGGAATCACCCTGAGTGGTCGTGCGCTGAGTCTGCAGCGCTTCGCCGCTGCTGTAACCGCTAGATATGTCGTCTGAAGACCTTATATTTCTATGAGCGATAAAGATATTCATTATTATCGAGATTTACACGCGGATACGTCAACGTTCAACGTGAGAATTACATACGTTAAACTAGCTATGGGTTCCCTAGGCCTTGGTTGTCGAACGTCGACATCCACTTCCGAAAAATACATCTCTACTCGAGACGCGTTACTGCTGGACTGGGTCCTGCGAGGACTATAGCCTCTTCTGCCGGCGTGCTCTCTTCGACGAGGTTCTACAAGGAATTATTATCAATGAAAAAAAAATCAAAGATTTATCATTATTTGTAAAAAGAGGACGGAAAATGTCTGCAAATTGTTGCGTGTATTACGCTCAATAATGTTTGCATTTATTCTTTTAGAAAACGCGCAACATCTCAATTGAATTAGCATGTTGCTAAGAATCAGCTACCTCCCATATCTGCCTCGTCACGCGCATCGGGTGTGTTTCTATTTTCATCCTCCTTCTCGCCGGTTAGATCACTGAGACTATAACTTTTCCTCAATTGTTGCACCAGTCCACCGCCACCCTGGAAAAGGAAGTTAATCATGAAGTGATTCTCATTTTTTTAGACAGTGCGATCGGCGTTATGTCGCGCATGTATGTCACGTAGGCCGTAACGTTACGACCCGTTGCGAAAAAATCAAGTAATCGAGAAATTAAATAAAACGAAAACGAAAGAAAAATCTTACCAACCAAAAGGATGTTAATGTGTTATCTGTCGTCACCGCTCACGAAGGCAAACTCCCCTTACGCCTGTATAAACGCCGGATTACGATAATCCGAAGGCAATTTCTTGCTTTTTCCAGACGCTCGTGTATGTACGTACTTTTCTGTTAAAACATGCGCTATCCAGAAGAACGCAGCGATCGGTGGTAATAAGTGTAGGTGCATGAGTATAGCGCGTCTTAAGCGATTAGTTTTATTAATTTGTATTATATAATATTAAATAATATTTTTAGAAAAGATGCGCTGCTGCTGAGAGAATTAATATCTTGTATAAACCTTCGGAATATAATAGGAAACAATTCCGGAGAGGAATGATAAAACAGAGGATCGATAGGTCATCCAAGTAACATTTTTATTTGAAAAAAAAACTCATAATAATCAAAAGTCTTTGGAATCGGATACAAAAATCTTACTTGCTAAGATAATTTGTCACTCTAAAAGCTCGCGCGTAGAGAAATCACAGCAATAATTCACAATAAGAAGCACGGCCAGAAATTGTCTTTGTTATCGCAAAGGCAAAAATTGACCCGTATGCTTCTCTCATATTGATTAGTTCACAGAACTAAAATATATATCTACATTACACCTGCTACAATTAAAGCGCCCGTTACATTGTAACGGTTATAATACTTGATTGCACGATTATATAAACTTTAATTGTAACATAATATATGTAAAAGCAATCCAACTTTCATATATCTACGCAAAAATATGTTCGCAGACGCGTCTTTTTCAGCTTATGCATCTTCGTAAGGAAGTTACATTGCGGTGAAACATTTTTAAAGGTGCCGATCTATTTCGAACCGACAAGACTATTCATCATTCATTTTCCGACACGAGAGGATAAGCTTTATTGCTATGTTTTTCCACGTGCGTGCGTATCGCGTAAGCACGCGCAACCTAACACAGATTCATGTTTATCGGTAACTTTGTAGGTGAAATGCGCAATAAAATGATAAATACATAAACACACGAACAACTACACTGACTACGCCAACGACAATGACGATTATTTAACGTATAATCGTTCATCTCATCGTACATTATCGTATATTGGCCAATTCTCATGTTAAAGTATTTCTCTTTTTCTGAGTTTTAGGTTCTACCTTCCAGAAGACCTCTAAGAGTTTGATTGATCACATTAATCATTTCGATTTGCGCGTGTGCAGAAATAAAGTTTCTATTTGCGTTTAAGCATCAAAAGCATAAGTTAGATTAGCATAACTCAAATTAGAGATCCGTTTTCTTTTTTGATATAACAATCCAAATAAAATATGGTAAAAATAAAAACAAAAAATCTATTAAAGTTGGCACTAAACAGCGTGCAATTTAAATGATGATTAATTATTCTAATTGTATTACTAAATTTGTTCATTAAAGAAATGCGAGAGATGAAACGACATACATACGATAAATAAAACACAAGATATTAATTACATAGAATCTGCAATCAATATTTTCAGATTTTTTTTAATGATATGGCTTTTTATTTCTTCAGTGATCTTTGATTGTGCTCCTTAAGCTTGTGTTATCATACATTTTAATAATTATTGGCATTATTGTTAACATTAATGTGAACTGCGCAACATTACACAAAAATATACCGTTGCGATTAATCGATCACACCTTATATTTTAATTAAGACACAGTAAGGTGCGTAATTCTTATATTTCCTAAAGTCGAACAAAGTTCACGTGGAAAAGTACAAAATTTAATAAGGCACACAAGTGAATGGCAACGACTTGGTTGAAAACATGTAATTAAAAGTTTTGCGCCATACTCATTTGATTAAAGCGTTCTAATTTTCATGTTTTTCGAAAAACAAGCATGAGACTAAATAAAGTTACGTTTTTGATGTTCCTTATTTATCAATATATCGAACAACTTTTTCGTCCTTAATATGTATTGTCCGTAGTTAATCACACATAGTGTAATTTTTATACTTATAAAAGTAGTCTATATAAAAGAGAGTTGATTCATACTATTAATGAAATTTTCTCGCAAAATTTGCGACAGGAAATTCTGCTTCGCAAATTCGCAAAAAACGCAAAAAACCTCGTAGTAGATTGTATACGCAAAAAAAAAAAACTCGTAGTAGATTGTATATAAAAAAAAGTTAACACATCAAACTGAGTGTACAATGTGCGAAAAATTCTGTCATCGATCCTCAAAGCTGTTTTTCTCTCACGTGTAAAAAAGAAGTCTTACTATCATTTATGATAATACAGATATACAAATCGTCTCTCATCTTCGATAAAATCGATGATCATCTCTGACATTTCAATCCATCGGTCTGCTTTTCAAGCCGCTTTTGCAATCATTTATTTTCTATTTATCACCGTTTAAGAAACTATCGGTCCTTCTAGTTGATTTCGGCGTCATCGCTAAAATCCACATCATAATTCTTTGAGGCTCGAGTCTTGCAGGCTCGAGTCTTCTGCTGTCTAGTGGCCTCGCTAGTCTGTTCCTTCTTGGACTTCCTAGATCGCGTTTTCCGCGGAGTTTTCTTCTCGGGCACCTTAAAATCGGTTTCGTCGGGCACTGGAGGGAAAAAAATCTCCTGTTCGTCCAGCGGGTCGCATTCGTTCGTCGTGGGCAGTTCTTCTGTCATCTCCTTGTCGCCATCCGCTGAATCATCGTTGTACTGCCAGTAAAAAGTCGAGTATGTGTCGTCCATCACGAGGTCGTCGGACCTAATACGCTGATTGTAGATTGTGCTGTCGTCCGGACAGTCCACGTTGTCCTGGTTGTTTAACCGCGTCGTCGTTCTGGGGTTGGCTAAGCTAGAAATCGCCGGGTCTGATTGGCGGTCGGGGAGTGCACTCGTCGTGTTCGGGAGTACGAGCGGGAGATTCTGTTATGTGACGCCGATTTTACATCCCGTTTTTTTTTTAATTGATTTTTATTTTATTATATTTTTTTTTGTTTTGCGTTTTATTCACAAATCAACAAGTTGGCGTGTTTGCGGCGATTGTTGTTGTTACGGGTCAGTGGCAGAGTTTTGTCGTGCGATCGACGACGGATCGGTGTAGGTAGATTTCTTAAGCAACGACAGCGGTTAAAGGTGATGGTCGGACGACAGTTACGTGCTCGGTGTTTGCCGTGCGTGGTTTTGTGGGTGGCGATGACCATTTTTTATTTTTTGATTAGGCGGTACGATGGCGGCGCAACGGTGAAAGGACGATGGCGTGCGGGGACGCGAATAGGACAGAACGAAAACAGAAAAATCAAAAACACGTAAAATCATTAGTGGGTAACAAATAAAGGCGGGTAGATAGAATTTTATGTGTGATTAATGAAAGCAAGAGTTCAATCTGGTAGTATGAGTATGAGATTAAACAATACACATTCCTGGATACCGGCAGGTTTTACCGGAAAATAGAATTTTACGAAGTATATAATTATATATCAATTATTTTCAGCTATAAAAAGAGTTTACACGTTTAAATTGTAAAAACAAATTGTAAAAATTTGCAAAACGGAATTCTTCCTTAAAAGCTACCGGCTTCTTTTGCATTTACAAGGTGTTCCGAACTATTGTTTAGCTATCATTTGCAAATTTCTTTAAAAATTGACTCGAGATCGATGGAGAAATTTTTATATAGCAAAACAATAGTTCCGGAACACCTTGTACGATATATTTCTTTCAACATTCGGGCCACATGGGGCCTTACCTTGATGGCGGTCTGCATGAGAACTGTGGTGGCATAATTTACGCCCTTGGTGCCGAGATGCAACACCGCTGTGTAACCCTGCTCGGTTACGCGTGCCAGGGTTTCGTCAATGTCGGCTTCGCGGCGGATTAGTGCGGGATGCACGAAGCGCCGATAAAGAATGCTGGAGCCCTTAGTAGCTGGGCTCAGCAGCCACAGAACCAAGATGATTTTAATCTCATAGTAAAACGGAAACCTACGTAACAAACGTTGATGCGTGTAAAATAACGCACATGCTGGCGCAGTCGCGTTCTCCCCGATATTAACCTTGTAAATTATAATCTTACTACAACAAATAATATTTGCGTATAAAAATATTATGAGCATAAAAATATTCAATTAGAAGAAACAAATTTTTTTAATTTATCCTGTTTGGCAATGACGGTCTGTAGATTTCTAAACAAAATCATCACGTCCAGTGCATTAAATCGTACCTTTAATCTATTTGTTTCAATTTGAACCGCAAAAAATTTATTACAAGCGTGAAAGTGAGAGCGGCGTGGAGAAAAGGCAAATACTGTGAAGATATCAGGAGGGCATTTCGACGCCAAAAATACGCGAGATTCGTTTCCTTCTTGGTTGTAATCCGAGTATGAAGGGAGGCCTGGCACGATGCTCACCGACGATGAGTAGGAAAGAGAGAGAGAGAATAGGAAAGAACGACGTAGAAACAGAGAGAACGGAAAGGGAGGCGCACAAGCAGAATCCTCAGAAGTGCATGTAAGCCAATATCTATCTCGTCCGAAATTAGACTTTCGAAATTCCTCGCGGCGAGAGAGCGGTTTTCAGACCGCGCGGTCTACAGCTGGTTTATTGGCCCCTTGTTTGCCCTCGTGACTGCAAAGTTCATCCCAATATCCGATGCATTATATTATGTACACACGACCGCTCTCAAATTGACGCAATCTCGATTATTAATAAATAGATAGGTGAAGCTTTAATGAACAGATATGTATCGATGCAATAATAATTTTGCGCAATTTCGTCCTACTTGGATAAATCGCACAAAACACATGATTTAATTTTTATTATGATGAAATAATGTAGCAAATAAATTTTTACAACTGCTATTTCTCACCAAAAACTAAAGAAGATGTCGGTGAATGTCTCTGCGCATGTGAACAGTGCAAATACGATCCAGTACATCATCCATTTGACCTGAAATCAAAATAAATCCGGAACAATGCAAGAGGTAGCAGACAGATGTATTTCTGATTTTATCCTTTTACGATATGTAAAATAGAAAGCTGGCGAACAATGTGTTTCCGGGGATACTATAATTGATGTGAATTATTTCATAATTTAGTATATAAAGCGCATTTAATATAAGATACGAAATTTTAATGTATATTATTGTACATTTTATATTGTACACATTTTAAGGGATAATCGGAGATTATTACGTAAAATTTCAAAGCCTTACTTTTAATTAAACATTCTCAAGATATTTCGATTTAAAATCGCAAAATTGCTTATTATCGTCAGTTATTGGTGCATTTTACTTACGTATTCCTTGACATTTTTCGTGCGCACTGCTTTGTAAGAAGCGTACGCTGGATAGAGAGTGCCGAAGACCAATCTGAAAATTGGATAAACGAGTCTGTAAATGAGAGATCGAGGCGAAACTATCGCCAGAAGTACTGTCAACAATCCAATATTGTTCAGTGTCATTTTTATGGGAAACGTTCGCAACCAATAATGACACCAGGCCATCGCTTGTCTCACTAAAAGTTCACCGATTCCCGCTCTGTGTATCACCGTGATCGGCAATTCATCCGATTGCGGCTCTTTATCGAATATATCAATTGTCGATTGTCGGTCTCTCTTCGTTTCCATCGCGTAATATTTATTTATTTCTCTCTGTCTCTCTTTCTCTCGCGCGTTGCGCGAGGAGAACGTCTTTGTGCTCGCGAAATCTTGAATTTTTCCGGAGATCCTGCGACAATTGTCGCGAAGCAGCGCGACGAGTCCAGCTGCAACACAAAACAGAAATTATTTAATGGACATCATTGATGTGTGTTAGTGTAATTGCGAGCGCAGTTGAAAAGAGAGAGGGCTTAATGATTGAAAGAGTCGGTTAGGCGAAGGCGATGTGTTACTTTAAGTCTTTTTAATGACACCGACTGTCGGGTTCGTTAAGAATTTAGTGAACGTGTACAGCGAACAGATAGATATATAAATATAACATAATTCTGCAATAAAAGTAGATATTAAGAAGACAAAATCATGAGAAATTTGTATTTAAGTTGATTGTAGGTTTTCAAAATCTTATTAAAATATTTAGATTCGCGGTTTATTAAAATCTACAATTCTGCAATGTAATACATTTATATTATTTCCACACGTCACTTTTATGCTTATACATTATTTTAACAAAAGAATTAAATTAATGTGCAAAATAATGTGACTGTATCAACAAAATTTAAGAAATGCTATCTTGTAGGACAGTGCTCGGAATTAATAGAACATTTCAGCCGATTTCCGCGGTATACGCTTCCTTTCCTCTCCTTACCGCGCGCGCCGCAGCCGCTAGGGCCAGCGCTGCCGAGCGTTAGGAGCGGCACTATCTGATTATGAGTAGGTTCTTCTCCCTATTTATTAAAATTAAAAAAACTTTATTAAAATTTATTAAAAATAAATTTTTTATTTTTAAATTTATTAAGTCGAAATATTTCACTAATGCTGACGCGTTTTTTAAAAAGTGGTTTCTATCTACATTATTGCATCAATTGTTCATTCTCATAAAAGGCTACAATGTAGGATGTACACGTCGTATTCGCATGGATCATTTAAGTCCGATCGAGTGATTTACGGTTTTCGATGGAATCGCGGAACAGCTATCGAATTCGGGATTCCGGAGCAGTGTTTTCGATTGAAGCACAGTTATTCGTCGATCAATACTTGCAACGACCTCAATTGTTGCGACCTCATTTAAGGGATTATGCAAGAAATTTATTATGGAGCTCTAATTGAACCAGAGTTATGTCGATTCATTTCGTATCTTCTTAAGACGAGAGATTAGATAATCCACAATACAAATACGTAGAAATCTCTACACTTTTCTTTTCAAGCATCGTGCATGCACTCCTTGCTTATTGCCGTTGTGCACTTGTATTATATATAACGAATAAATTTTATATATAGTAGTAAATTACTAAAAACCACAAAGTCTTAAGATGCCATTAAAAGTCGTGCTAATTTTCAATATTTCCATGGTACTTCTTTAAAATATTATTGTGCATTCTAAACAATTCTAAACAATTTGTTTTTTAATCGAGAATGTTTATAAACTCTGATTATTTATATATATCGAAAGATTAAAAGACTTTCTTAAATAGAATCCGCTATTCAAATAATACGCATTAATTCTTTTTTCTTAATGTCTCGACTTTACACAGTAAAATTCTCCAATAGTTTATCTCACTAAGATTTGCAAGAACAATGCTTTGTAATGTTAATCAATGTTTCTTTCTTACAATTCAACCGATTTGTTCGTCAGATTCATCCGTGTTTTCTCCTTAAACTCTCGTTATTGCCCGTTTCGTTCCTGTTGCGTAGAAGACAACGCATCGTCAGTTCTCTCGTCGTGATGATTTCTGACGTGTCGTTTCCTGCTCCGTCACCATCTTCCCCGCGTGTTCTCGCTTTTCCCCAAAATGATTTCCTTGTGTATATTTTAATATTTCAACTCGAACTCCTCAGTTAATGCGCCGCACGAGTCGTTCTTCTCGCGAAAGGTTCCAGTTAGAGACTAAACGCGTAGCCGCGTTCGTTCAGGCATCGTCAACGACGGCGACGACGACAGCGAGAAACGCTCTGACTGCTGCAGAGACTCTATTTTCGAGTCTTAAGCCGCTATCACACACGTGCTTTTAAGCTGACACGATGCCAGTTTGGAAGATAGTAACCGCGACTTTCTCGCCCGGCGATTCAGTTGATTTGTGTTCATGGCTTGAGTCACTTCCGTAAACTTATTGACATGTCGTGTTGTGAATCTTCGATCAGGTCAAAACTGTTTACATAAATTATATATCTGAATACATTCTAGCTTTATATCGAGAAGATTAAGGAATGTTATTTTCGAGAGAGAATTTAGAGCATCCGTACGTATTTTCTGTTATTTATAAATTTTTTGAATAATTTACAATCGGTTTAGTCTGAGAAAATTTAATTCGATATTATCTAATTTCCTAATCGTTTTAATACACATTAATTATAGATTAAAAGTAAACAAAAAATAAAATTTAATTATCCACACACACACACAGAAAGTTTCACAGTTTAATCACTAAAATTTTTTATCAAATTGCAACTCGAAAATTCCACTGGAATTTAGGAATTTATTTAAACTATTGAGAAGAATTATTTCTGTTCAACTCCAAATGGGCCAAAGAGTGGCTGTAGATCAAAGAAAGTACAAAGTACGGGACATTTTAACAGTAGGTCATAAATGTTCGAAACTGCTTCCAAAATGCTTTCTGGACAAGGAGCTAAAAGCGACTTGTGACCGATGTATTTAGAGTGCATGACCGTTTTCCCGCGAGTGGGTCATCTCCGTACGTGCCAGAGCGACAAGTTAATTATATGCGACAACCTAGATATCGGTTAAGCTTTATCAGAATAAGAACTACAATCGCTTAATTTCTTCAACGATGCATTGTTCGAATTTGTATTTAGAGTCGAGCGCAAATTTTACACGCCAGCTTGATCTCGGCAAAATTGTCGCTTTATCAAAATAAAATCATGATCACAAAGACGATCGAATAATATCAATATTACTAATGGACAACACGTGATTCAAACATACAGAATAACAATTCACATGGGAAACATAATGCAAACACTGTTTCTCTTGAATTCGACGTATGCAAATGTACACTCTCTCAGAAGTTTGAATAGCACTCGAGAGGCCTTTAAAGTCTCTAAAGAGTTAAATTAAACAACGAATATAATACGTAATAATTATAACTTGCGTGTTTATAACTTTAGGAGCTAATATCATACATTATTTTGTAGTTAATTAAGTTTTATCGTGCTAAAGTTTCGAAAAATGATGTTCCAATTCTTCTACGATTTAAATTTTACCGGAGCAAAAATTTCTTTGTGTGATTAAACACAATGGCAGCATTAACGGCACTTTGTCATGTCAATTGAGTGAATTAAATTAACACGCTAGCGTCAATTATCGGTAGATCGAGAGGGATAGAAAAGAATTCAAGTTCGATTTTCTGTGTTAAGTACGACGAGAAAGTGCGCTTTACATTGTGCATATCTAAATTTCACTCTGTCACAAACTCCCTCCGAAATTCAATACATTTAATAAATCAACATTTAAATCAATATTTTTTAGCATTTTAATTTATTGAAAAATATTACGTTTATGATAATTGCAGCACCAAACGGTGTAATTGTGTGTATTTTGGATAAATGTAAAGCATAGATGTCGCATTAAACTGCTACTCTTATTATTCTGCACAACTTGTTTTTTTTTTTAATAATTAAAATACCGAGGTAAATGTTACTAACACAATGCACTGACGATGTTTCTATAATTCGTTCGATCGATTGGATTGTTTCACGTATAATACCGTTCGACGTTTGCAACACGAGTACGACATTGCGAAATTGAACAAAGCCTTCGCTTGAACTGCGACCGCACGAAACTGCGAACGATCGTCTGCAGTCGCAGGCAGGTAATTCGACGATTGTTACCAATGTCGCTCTCTGTCGCGGATTGCATAACAGAGTGTCCCTAATGCGCAGTCCGCGCTACTCGCGGCAAACGCGTGATCGCTTACGGTGCGTTATCCACGCCCGGTCGCTTCCGGTTCCGGTGGACGAACCGACACACGAGTCGAGGCTTTCGATTCTATGGCGTATCGAAACGAAGGAGGTAGCCGACTGGCAATTGCGCGATAAGACACCAACGATTTACGACCGTCGCGATTCCGCCGCGGCCATTTACGAAATTGAATGTCCACCCATTATCCGACACCGCCATAAGATTATCTATCGACCTGATATCTCGTAAAACAGGATTTTGTAACTTTTACGCCACTTTTTTGTCCCTATTCTACTGTTATATGTTCACTTCTTCCGGTCGTGCATTTCTGCTCCAGTGAGTTTGCTCGAGACTTATGTCAAAATTTTTATTACACTTTTCTCTAATCTTTTTCAGGAATAATGTTCGTGAAGAGAGAAGTAGCTCTTGATTCAATTAAATAATCTATTATTAAAAACGAAAAACACAAAGACCGGATTTTGACACATTCCAAACTTGGAATTATGATATAAATTATATTCTTTCCAAATGCAACGGCAGTGTATATTCAATATTTTGCACTATGTTCTTAAATCACTTGTAAAATCGAAATTAGGAGCACGATTCCAGTTTATTACATAAAGCAACGAACTCAATTACGATCTTGTATGATAGTTAACGCGCTTTCATGTTTATTAATGATGTGCAACTTTCCCCTCTTTATCGCAGTAGCATACGCATATACATGGCCTCGGTCGCGAGCATGAGGTCATTCGTATGTATCTTCAGGTCAAGATCATTGTCGTCCATTTACGCAT